AAAACACTCTGGATTATTTCAGTTCTATGAACCATCATGATGGAAAGAGACCTTTCCATGGAGAGGATTCTCTCAGTTCTGTCTGGACTATCTTGCCTTGGAGCCCAGGGAAGAAAGGAAATGCTGATTGTCTGTAGGCGTTATTTCTAGAAGCAAAACAGCCTTTATCAACTACCCCTCCTGAGACCTGCCTGACACAGAGAGCCAAGGGACTTGCTGGTATACTAATAGCTGATACTAAGGTGGCTCACCTGCGTGGTCTTTGCTCTGCCTGAGATGCTCTAAGACTTTGCAAATAATGGTTCACATTCTTTTAATAACCTTTGAACTGTGTACCATTTGTATCTGTAAACACAGGGCCAGGTCTATTGTCTGTTGCCCCTCCTGACACCAGGTACCCTCTGCGCTCCTGGCACTGATGGCTCAAGCCTGGGGTGTGTCCCTTGTCGGGGACACAGAACAACCAGCCACTCAACCACACAGCAAACCACGGTTTCACTCCATTTGGTTTTCTTGTTGATGTTGATGAAAAAACTATGACTCAGATTTTACACAAATTTCCCCACTGACTTAATGTACTTCTGACAGTTCTATCAGTTTTCTGAGAGTTCCATTTATTTCCCCCTGTCTCCTTCCTGCAGCCATCACATTTTTATATGAGGAGAAAGAGGAAGAGAGGAATGTGAAAATCTGATTCTGATGCCTGGCCTTGAGCAGGACATCCCAAAGCCACCCCTCCCCCAGGCGGGGCACCCAGGTGTGGGGCTCAGGCCCAGCTCTGTCCAGCCCCTCCCACTCCTGCTCACTACCTGCTGCCAGGCACTTTGCTTCCTGCACCGGAGCTCCTTGAAGGCTGTAGGTACCATTAAATATGTCCTGCATTAGGAAGAGGACACATGCAGATGAAGAAGAGGAGGAAGAACAAAAAGCTTCTACAACCCTGCCCATGTGGTGAAGGTCTGTGCACTGAAGGGTGGAGGTTTTGATTCTCAGTCAAGGGCATGGACCTGGATTGCAGGGTACATCCTGAACCAGGTGAGGGCACAGGGCAGATGTGAGAGATAACAATTGATGCATCTCTCACACATCAATGTTTGTCTCACTCTCCCTCTTCCTCCCTTCCTCCCTTCCACTCTCTCTAAAAATCAATGGAGAAAAATATCCTCTGTTGAGGTCTTATAAAACAAACAAACAAACAAACACAAAAGCTTCCTCCAAAATCGATCAATCCCAAAGGAATCTAAATGTAAAACCGAATGGAGAACTATAAACGTGCGGGAAGAAATGTTAAAACTCATGTTGAGTTGCAGAAACATAGCTAATCAAGACGCAAATCCCAGAAGCCATAAAGGAAAACTTTGACTGATTTGACTTCTTAACAATTAAAGACGGCAAAGGCGACCATCAGCCAAGGCAGAGCCCCGTGAGAAACTGGGGCACTGTGTGCAGTAGGTACGTGGACCACAGGTGACTCGCTGTCCACAGCACACAGGAGCCTACGGATCAACATGGAGGGACTGAACCCAGATTCTTAAACATGGGGAGACACAGGAAGAAATCATTCTACAAAACAACAATGAGGTACCATCTCACACCTGTCAGAATGGCTATCATCAACAAATCAACAAACGACAAGTGCTGGAGAGGATGTGGAGAAAAAGGAGCACTCGTGCACTGCTGGTGGGAATGCAGACTGGTGCAGCCACTATGGAAGACAGTATGGAGTTTCCTCAAAAAACTAAAAATGGAACTCCTATTTGACCCTGTGATCCCACTTCTAGGAATATATCCCAAGAAACCAGAAACACCAATCAGAAAGGATATATGCACCCATATGTTCATAGCAGCACAATTCACCATAGCTAAGATCTGGAAACAGCCTAAGTGCCCATCAGTAGATGAATGGATTAGAAAACTGTGGTATATCTACACGATGGAATACTATGCTGCTGTAAAAAAGAAGGAACTCTTACCATTTGCAACAGCATGGATGGAACTGGAGAGCATTATGCTAAGTGAAATAAGCCAGTCAATGAAGGAAAAATACCACATGATCTCACTCATTCATGGATAACAAAAGACCATTATAAACTTATGAACAAAAATAGATACAGGGGCAGAGCTGCCCTCAAACAGACTGTCAAACTGCAGCGGGAAGGCTGGGGAGGGTAGGGGAGCAGAAGCGGCGGGGGGTGGGGGGGTGGAGAGATCAACCGAAGGACTTATATGCATGCATATAAGCATAACCAATGGACATAAGACACTGGGGGGTAGGGGAGGCCAGGGGATTGTCAAGGGCAGGGGAAAAAAGGATAAATATGTAATACTCTTTGGAATACTTTAAGCAATAAAAAAAAAGAAAGAAAGAAAGAAAAATCATTATCAGGGAAGGGGCTTGGCAGCGTCAGGCAGCTCCTGTGGGCAGAGTAGAGCCCACACTTCCTGATGCTGGAGGCTAAAGAGGGATGTGGTGTGAATAAGGCAACAGCTCCCAGGTGTGTCTCTGCTGTACAGACACAGGGATCTGGGCTCAGTCTCCTCCAGCTCAGACACACAGGACCACCTCCTACGTCGCCCATCCCCCCACGGTTAAGAGCGAGGCCGGCCAAGAGCAGGGAGGCAGAGCCCACCCACCTCCTGCTCAGGGTCTCAGTGTGGCACCCGGGACCAGTCATCCCCCTCTCAGGGCCTCAGTTTCCCACAAGGCCCGGCACTAAGCTGAAAGGGTGTGTGAAACAAGGTCATGATTTGAAATCTCAAAGGAAATCCTTTGCCCCCATCAGCCTCAGGGCAGCCAGGCCGCAAGGAACAGAGGCTCTTACTCACTTACTGTCCCCCACCTTTTCTGCTTCCCCCCACACCCCCCGTCCTTTGGGGTCACTGGCTCCTGTGTCAGGGAGTCCAGGCATAGCTGAGCTGGAGGGAGGATGTGAACATACCTGAGCAGTGTCCCCCTCCCTCTCCACTGTTTAGGGGCACTGGGCTGGGGAGGAACGTCAGACAAAACTGGTTCCAATCCGGGTTCTGTCACTACTTACATGTGCCTTGGGCCCATTACCACTCCCCTCCGCCCCCCCCCCACCCCCCAGCTTCGTAGTTTGCCCACAGCTGTTCTAGAAGGAAGACCTGCCACAGACAGACAGTGGGATCCTGGGCAAATTTCTCCCTCTACCCCATGGGGTTGTCCCCAGAACCCTCCTCTCTCCTCCTCCCCCACACGCCCTCATGCCCCCCTTATTCACCCTTCTGTCCCCAGCAATGAGCACAGTCCCTGAACACAGCAGATGCTCATTGCCTCCTTGCATTGCTTTGGTCCCTGCTCCTATTGAAGGCCCTGCCCAGGCAGTTTCCAGACATTTGCTTTTGTAGGTCCTTCTGCCAGGAGCACCTGCTTCTCCACCTGGAACAACATGCTCACCCTTCAAAGCCCAATTCTGGGATCACCTCCTCTGAGAAGCCCTCCGGCATCTCCCCCTCCCAGAGTCCACTGTCCCCTGCAGGCTCTGCTCCCCTGGCCCCTGGGGGAGGCCCAAGGCCACTGTGTCTGCGTCTCCCCTGACCCTTTAGATCAGGCCTCTGTGAACCTGTCCCTGGTGGCAGGGTCAGAGCCTCGGAACCACAGCGACCTGTCCGAGGAGGCCCTCCCTGGTGGTCATGGCCGTCTGTGGGAGCACAAGGTTGTGGGCGTCGGCAGAGAGAAGCCGGCTGTTTGCTCTCCGGGCCCCTTTCCTGTTGACAGCAGATCTCTCCATAGGAAGCCCAGTGTCGCCGTCACACAGAAACGTCTGAAAACGGAAGGGACGCAGGGCTGAGTGTGTGCCAGGCACCGTGCGGGCACCTTCCAGGCCTTTCCTATTTGATTCTCACACCGGCTCCAGGAATCACCACCTGGATTTTACAGATCAAGAAACAGGAGGGAAATGGCTTTCCAGGCGGGGCTGGGCATGGACCCCAGAGGCCAGCATGGCCGCTCAATGAGACCTGCTCATCCCGGGCCAATGTCCATGGGGTGCCACGGCCACCTCCCCCCTCTTCAGGGAGGGGCGGCAGAGTGATGATGGTGTTGCATGAGGACCACACAGCAGAGCCTGACATGATCCCCCAGCAAAGGCCTGGTTTCAGAGAAGAGGAAGCCAAGGTGAGGGGAGAGGCAGGCCTTGCACCAGGCAACTCAGGGAAGGGGCCAAGACTCAGAGCAAGTGTCACAGTTGGCCTCTGGCCCTGTTTACAGTTATTTTTGTCTTGTTTTTCCTGTAACCTGCCTTCCTCCTGGTTCCTCCCCCTTTCACTGGCCTGACTGCCGCTGGACACCCCACACCCCCTGGGAGGTGCAGAATCACGCCAGACCCAAAGGAGCGGAGTCCCGTTGTCCAAAGGGCCCTCTGATAAGAATGCAGAAAAGATCCCAGACAGATGTCTGTGGGCTCGGTGAACACACTCTCCTGGCAGAACAACTGGGGCCAGGGGGAGGGGCGGGGGGGTGCGGGGGGTAGAAAGCCATATGAGGTGAGATGGGTGTCTGTTGGCATGAGCTGAGATCACCCCACTTAGGGACCCAAAAGACCCAGTGACTATTAAATAGGGCTCAGCTGGACCCCCAGCATCACAAGAAGGTCACCTGGGATGACTACAGCTCAGAGGTGGGGTGTTGGACAAATTCTTTGGTCAATAAGCCATCTCAGCTCCCAGGCAAGCCCCGCCCATCCTGCCTCCCTCAGGATGTGAGGAAAATCCCCACTCAGGGGAAAAGTAACCCCAGAATCACAGGGAAAGGGGTCTGGCATGTGCCACCAGCATCGTCTGGTGGAGCCTGGAGGAGTCACCAGCTGCAGGCACTCAGCCAGCACCCTCACCCAGCCCGGCCCAGTCTTTCCAACACGTGGGGGGTGGAGCTTGGCTCAGACACGCTGGACACAAAGAGTTTTGCTTATAGGGCAGTGGGAGTGGGCAGGAGCATGGAACCCAGGGGGCCAGTGCCGTCATCACAGTGGCTTGCCAACGGGCAGCTTGGGCTGCAGAGCGCAGGGGCACTGTACTCCATGCCAACAGCACCTGCCGACCTCATGGTAAGTGGCCACTAGCCTCAGCCCTTGTTGCCAGGCTGCCAGCATCACCCAGGGGACAGCCTCCTTGTCTTTCCTCAGGTGGCAAAATTGGGCCCCGAATGAGGAACAAATGTCAACGTAGGGTCAGGACTGAGAATAAAGATGACAAAACTCAAACCCATAATGTTAGTATTTTTGTGTTGAAGTCAAGACGAATGCACTGTGTTTAATTTCAATGAACGTACAATGTGTAAGCGAACTGGGCACATTCTCAGAGTTACCAGATTTTGGATGTCAATTTAAAACAGGAAATGGAGTAATTTATCTCAAATAATGATTGTAAGTTGAAAATCACTCTGCTCAGAACAAAGGCAGAGAGGAGGGAGCCTCAAGTTCATCAGTTCCCAGCACAGGAGGGGTGGGGAGTGGCGGGCAGGGGTGCAGAGGCGGCTGTGAAAACCGCGCCATCAGACACCTCCGAGGCACCACCTCCCAGACTGTAGAAGTAATAACATCCTGCTTCCGGAGGCACCACCTCCAAGACAAGTAATAACATCCTGCCCTGGCTGGTTGGCTCAGTGGATACAGCTATGGCCCTCGGACTAAAAAGTCCCGGGTTCAATTCCGGTCAAGGTTCTGTACCTGGGTTGCAGGTTTGATCCCCAGCCCTGGTCAGGGTGCAGGTGGGAGGCAACCAATCGATGTGTCTCTCTCACATCAATGTTTCTCTCACTGTCCCTTCATTCTCTCTAAAAAAATCAATGGAAAAATATCTTCAGGTGAGGATGAATAACAACAACAAAAGTAATAGCATCCAGTTACTGAGAAAGTCAAGATGGCAGCTCCTCAAAGATTAACCGGAGACTGACATCACGATCCAGCACTTCTCCGCACACCCCCCAAATTCAAAGCAGGGTCTCGAAGAGATACCTGTCCACTCATATTCACGGCAGCATCACTCACAACAGCCAAAGGTTGAAGCTACCCAGGTGTCCATCGGTGGGGAACGGATAAGAACTCTGTCACACACACGATGGAGTATTATTCATCCTGAAAAGGCCATTCCGACAGGCTACCGCATGGAGGAACCTCAAGGACAATATGCTTACCTGTAATGTCATCACAAAAGACAAATGCTCTATGACTCCACCTATGAGGTACCGGGGTAGACAAGTTCACAGACAGGAAGTTGTCAGGGGCTGGGAGGGGAGGAGACCTGGAGTGTTCCATGGGGACAGATTTCCAGTTTTGCAAAACAAAACAGTTCTGCGGATGGATGGTGGTGATGGCTGCACAGTGTGAATGGACGCAATGCCGCCGAACTGTATCCTTCAAAAAGGCTCAGAGGGTACATTTTGGTGAGCATCCTATCACGATTTTCTCAACATTTAATTCACCTTAAGAAGCCCAGCCCTTATAGGAAAGAAATAGCAGCATTGAGCCCTTTACACCCTGGGAAGCATTGTCACCCACACAATTCTAACTATCGCAGGGCCTGCGAGGAAAACATGTACTACAGCTTCCCAAACAGAAAACCGCGGTTCCCACGGGGTGACATGCTGGCCCCTGGAGGGAGGAAGCTGCTGGTCTGCTTCTTGTTTCGTTGTGTTTTGGACCATATGCCATTTCCCTACAGCAACAGAAGTCCTGAAAGTGTCATTTTCTGCCCTAAATGCTCCCTATTGGCTCCAGGTTTGTCAGAAAACGTCCACACCTCAGCCCTAGCTGGGTAGCTGGGTTAGTGTCGTCCTGACACGCCAAGGTTGGGGTTCGATCCCCGGTCAGGGCACGTACAACAGTCAACCAATGAATGCATAAATACATGGAACAACAAATTCATGTTTCTCTTTCACTCTCTCTCCCTGCCTCTATCTCTAAAATCAAACAATAAATAAAAATTTTTTTAAAAAAAGAAAGAAAACTTCCACACCCGTTGGTCAGGTTGCAATGAGGTGGTGAACCAGAAACCCAACCCAGGAGCGTCTGATGTGAGAACCAATGTGAACAGATCAGGCAGCCGGGAAACCGCGTTACTGAAAAGAAGGACAACCCCCCATCCTATGGGGCCTGGTCCCACCTCCCTCCCAGGGCACCTCCTGCTGCTCCCTCCCTAGGGAGGAAGTGCACCTGCTCAGGGGCTCGACTGGTCAAAATGTCCTGTCCAGCCCGGCCAGCTTGGCTCAGTGGTTGAGCATTGACCTATGAACCAGGAGGTCAAGGTTCAAATCCCTGTCAGGGCACAAGCCCCCTTTGGGGGGCGTATATATATCACACATTAAAAAAAAAAAGAATGTCCTGCCCTGGCTGGTTTGGCTCAGTGGATAGAGCATGGCCTGCAGACTGAGGGGTCCGGGGTTTGATTCTCACCAAGGACACATACCCGGGTTGCGGGCCCGATTCCCGGTATGGGGCGTGCAGGAGGCGGCCGATCAATGATTCTCTCTCATCATTTATGTTCTGTCTCTCTCTTCCTCTGAAATCAATGAAAATACATTTATATATAAAGAATGTCCTGCCCAGTGGCGCCCAGCTGTCCTTAGCAGCCCTGCTGGCCAGTGGCCCAGGGTCGTGGCTGAAGTCCACCCCTCGCGTCAAGTGGGTGCCATCTCCCTTCTCTGAGGAAAACCTTTGCTCCCTCTCCCTTTTGCAACTGCGGGGACATTGGTCTCCTTACTTCCCTTGTCCTCCTGGTGAGCAAGGGCCTGGTTTATTTATGCTCTGCCTTTGTTAAAAGAATGAATGAATGAGCCCAGCTTTGACAGTCCCATGAAGGGCCTCCTGCTCCAACACCTTCAGGCCCACCCACCAAGTCCCCATTCCTGCTCCCAGGGCGCTTGGGCGCCCTCCGTAGGGCAGACTCTGCACTGTCTGATGACTAAGGAAACCCACGGAACTTAGTACCTGTCTCTTCCTTGAGCCAGCTCAGTGTCAAGCACACAGCAGGTGCTTGACCTAAGGCTTAAAGGAGACACTCCTAGCTTCCTTGGCCCAGGCCCAGCCTGCCTCTCTCTCTCTTTCTGCATGGCTGCCGCCCACCCAGGCCCATCCCCAGCATGCTGCCTTGCTGGCAGCTTCCAGGATGCAGCACGCAGGTGCCCGCTGCACAAACACAGCACAGTGCCTCCAGCCCTCGCTGCGCACAGACTCCACAGACACAGGCTCATAGCACATGGACTCTTTATTGTGACGCTCAGTGGAAACCTCTGGAACCAGCTTCCTGTAGTGGTGACAGCTGCAGCACATGCTAAGGCACTTTTACTCTAGAAAAAAGGGTGGGTGCGAGTTCATTCACTCCTTTGTGACAGCAACTGGGACCTGAATTCAGAGCTTTGGAGGCATATGTAGCTTTTACACAGCTTCATGATTTGTGGAGTTTGTTTCTTTAAAAAAACACCTTCTTTGCCATAAGTAAGTCTAAATGCAGCATATACATAACAGTTAGGAGTACAGGGAAATCAGCAACCAGTGCAGACCAGTGTAGGACACGCTCCTCTTCTAAACAGGCTCCAAAGGAAGGCAGTGACGAAGACCGGGGGCTTTACCATTTATTAAAGGGGGAAGAAAACCTTTTACTTTTCTCCTTTCAAAAACATCTGTGCAGATGGTGGGTTTCTCAATGCGACCGAGTCAACGGTGCCGATCAACGACCCTCGGGCCCAGTCCTGGAGTAGGTCAAGGTCGTGTGGGAGGGTCACTGGCCCCGTCTGATGCCCTGGCTGTCAGATCTGGGACAGTCCCTTAACCATTAAATATATTTGGTCCCCAAGAGTGTTGGGAGAAGCCACTGCTGGCCTTTCCAGCTTGCCCCTAGGCCCTGTCTGCGGGCCCCCGGCCTGGCTGTGGCAGGGCAGGCTGCCCTCCGCAAAGGAGGGGAAGGGGTCATCATTGCACTTGAGACGTTCTAGAATCAGGAAGGGGACAGTGCGCTGCCCAGTGGGGGTGGGGAGGGACGACCCCCCCGCCCCCCGCATTCTGTGCCCTGCACAGAGGTGGCGACCCTGGGCCTGCTCTGGCCGAACCACCCAGAGCCCACGGGAGGGGGCCGGTGGGCAGAGGGTGTGAGGTCACCGCGTGTGATTGCCAACAGCAAAGAAGGGGGTGGGGAAGAGCTGGTGGCAGAGGGGGTAAGGTGACGATTCTTCTGGGGTGTTGGGCTATCAAAACTCCTTAGTCTGAAGAAAAATAGATTCGTAGAAAACTCTCTTGCCCGCCCCTGGCGGCTGCCCTTCCGGCCTCACCACCTTGCGCTTTTGGCAAGAGGAGGCCAAAGACCCTGCAGGCCACTCTGTCCCCAGCCAGGGGCCCAGGGCCCTGACTCTTTGGTATCAGATTCTCGGGGTGGGAGGGAGGGTGGGGAAGCGAGGGCAGGCGAGGGGAGGGCGGCAGCAGAGAAGCCAGAGGCCCTCACAGGCGGGGCAGGGGGTAGGCACAGGCCTGAGGTCCCCTGGCCTGGTGACAGGGGCTGGGGTCACGGTCACAGCAGTCCCAAGGAGGTGAGGGGTGCTGCAGGGGCTAGAAAGGGGAGGCGGAGTCATCCGTTGGTCGTTCGGTCTGTCTGTCTGTCCTTCTGGGGCAGGAGGCAGAGAGGTTATTCGGCGGCTTTGGCCTCTGCCCCGTCGGCTTTGCCGTCCACCTCGTCGTCCGAGCACTCGCCAGTGCCTTTCCGAGCCATCCGGCGGGGCACGACAAATGGCAGGTCCCCACGCCTGCAGGCAGAGGCAGAGGGTCAGAGGGCCAGCCAGGGTGGCCCAACACAACTCACACACCACAGCGACCCCTAGTGGCAAATGGGCGCCTAACATCCCACAGGAGAAGCAATGCTGGCCTCTGGGGCCATGGCCTCCACACAGGCCAGGCCGGCTCTCAGGGAGCAGGTGGTTAAAGTGGAAGCAAAACCCACCAGGAAATCAGGACGGATGACAAGGGGGAAAGGCACTAGAAGAGATGGAGTCGCCTTCTGCAACATGCCTCCCTTTCCTCCAACTTAGTATAAAACAGAGACGGAGAGATACAGGAACGCAGTATGGGAAGCCCAGCACCTTCCTCCCACCTCGTGTAAGAAAGTAGTATTCAATGAAAAAAAAGCAGTATCCAATGCTGACTAAAGGTCTGCATGCGTGAAAAAGGACTGCCGTGAACAGCAGGCAGCGATGAGACTGGGGAGAGGCCTCCCCGCAGCCGCTTCAGACTTGAATGCTCGCACTCCCTCCAGAAGCGCGAGAGGCCCTCTGTCCTGCAGGTGCGGTGAGAGGGCAGCAGCTGCGTTCAGCAAGCGCTCACGGCACCGAGCATGGGCCAGACCCGCACACCTTCTAGTTCCAAACGTCCAGCATGGGCCTTGCCACCGGACTGGGAGCGGCCGCGGGAGCAGACTTTGCAGATGGGATGGAGTAAGTGACCTAGACTTCAATGCCCATCCACAAGGCGGGGCCAGAGCCCAGAGGGCAAGAAGAACCCGGGGCAGCGGCCCTGACACCACTTTCTTGGCCTCCTGGGCTGTGCTCACTGACGCCGAGAACGAACTCACTTGCGAAAGCAGAAATCACGGGAAGGGGCCGGCGGAGGCAGGGCTCACCTGAGCTTGTTCTTGAGGGAGCTGACCTCCCGGTTCATGGCGTCCGCGGTCTCGGTGGCGTCCTCCAGCTCACGCTGCAGTTTCCTGCGGGAGGCATTGGCCCGCTGGGCCTCCTCCTCAGCCTCCTCCAACTGCCGCTTGAGCTGCTTCAGGCGGGTGGACGCCTTGTCAGCCTGTGGGGATGTGTGGCCAGTGGCCATGGTTAGGCGTCCTGGGCGAGTGTGGCCTGTACGGCCCCTGGCCAGCCCACCGCTCTGCCCACAAACGCACCTGGTCCTTGAACTGCTCGGCGTTCCTGCGCTCATCATCCACCTGCAGCAACACGTCCTTCAGCTTCTTCTCGGCCCGGCGCACCTGCTTGCAGGCCGCCTGGCGCTCCCTGCCAGGCACAGACAGTGTGGCTTAGGGGGACACCCTCCTTCAGGGGGTCCGGCCACACCACAGGCTGGACCACCCACTCCTGGCCTCACTGCTACTTCCCCCCAGGGAGGCCTTGGTGCTAAGGCAGCCCCTCTTTACTGGACACCCACTGTGAGCTTTGGCTTCTGGGAGGCACTTTAATTGGCCCCATTTCAAAGATGGGGAAACTGGGCCTCCGAGAAGAAAAGGGACACATCTCAGAGCATATGTAGCCCTAGGAAAAGAGAAAATTGAGATTGGGGACCCAGTGGGACCCCCATTACCTCCCAACAAGTCTCTGTCTTGCTGAGCCCAGACTGTGCCCAGGTGGTTGTGAACGTCTACCTCTCTCTCTGAGGCAGCCTAACAGACAGCCACACCCTCAACTTCAGAGGTGGGCCAAGGGCTCCTCAAGCTCTTCAGGCCCCAGCGAAACGGAGGAGAGCCCGTCAGGAGGGGGAGATGAGCCGCAGGGACAGGACGCTGGTTCCTGACTACACCCAGAGGGGCCTGAAGCTTGCTCAGGTGACGGGAGAGGGAGACCTACTTCGTCTCGTTGTCCAGCTGCTCCTCCAGCTGCGCGATCTTGGCCTCCAGGGCAGTGATGGAGGCCTTGTACTTGGACTTGACTGTGCCCTCCATCTCCTGCAGCTTGACCTTGAGCTCCTTGTTCTGGCGCTCCATCTGCTGCCTGGCGTTCTCGTTCTTCTGAGCGTGGCTGCGCTCGAGGTTCAGGTCTGTGTTGATCTGATCGATCTGTGGGAAGAAGGGCTCGTGAATGGAGGGAAGCTGGGGACAGACCCCACAGATCCCCTTATAACACCAGGTCCCCCAAACTTAGCAGGGCCAGGACATGCTCCCCTAAACAATCAGGAAGCTACCAGCTTGGCCGAGGTGGCGCTCAGGACCCACAGCCCGAGCACGGTGCGGTGCTGAGGGAGTGCCCAGGCAGCCCAGCCCTGCCCACCTGCAGGTTGGCCTTCTTCAGCCTGTCGTTCACCAGCTCTGTGTTGCCCTGCTCCTCCTCCAGCTCCTCCTCCAGCTGGGCGATGCGAGCCTCCAGGCGCCGCTTCTCCTCCAACGCCAGGGCTCTGGGGAAGCAGGGGAGGAGTGAGAAGGGGCCAGTCCCAGAGGGGGTGTACCCCCCACAACACCCACCTTTACTTAGTGGCTCACTCACCCTTTGCCACTGCTGTTGGCAATCTCGTCAGCCAGCTCGTCCCGCTCCTGCTGGGCCTGACGCTTGGCACGCTCTGCAGCTGCCAGTTCCTGCCATGAGAACCCAGAGTGTAACCCGCTGGCAGCCTGCTGCCCTGAAAGGCCACCCCTTCCTCCCCAAGACCCTGGCGCCCCCTCA